TGAAAAATTGAGAAATCGAAGTATAAAACAGTCGCAGAATTGAAAAATCTAAAGTTTACAATAAATTGAAAATCCAAAAAGTAAAAAATCGAGAAATCAAAAAAAATCCATCAATTCAAAAATCGAAAAGTCGAAAAATTGAAATATTGATTATCTCATATCTGAAAGAAATATTCAAAAAATTGAGAAATTAAAAAATTGAAAAATTGAAAGTATAAAAAATGAAAAACTGAAAATCCAAAAATAAAAAATCGAAAATCTAGAAGTTGAAAAATCAAAGAATCGAAGTATTGAAAAGTATCAAAACTGAAAGAAAATCCAAAAATTGAGAAATCGAAAAACCAATAAAGCGAATTCGAAAAATCGAAGAATTGAAGAACTGAAAAATCGAGAGAAGTGGGAAAATCAAAAATAGAAAAATTTAAATACTGAAGAACTGAAAAGTCAAAAAATCGAGAAATCGAAAAATCTAAAATTTAAAACATTGAAAAGTTAAAATATCCTAAAACTGAAAAATGGAGAAATCCAAACATCAAAAAATCAAAAAAATAAAAATTCGAAAATCTAAAATTTAAAAATCGAAAAACTGAAAAATCAACAAATCGAAAAGTCGAAAATTTAAAAAATTTGAAAATTGAAAAAGCGTATAAATCAAAAATCGAAACATCGAAAAATCGAGAAACCGAAAAGCAAAAAATCGAAAAATCGAAACATCGTAAAATTCAAAAATTGAGACATCGAAAAATCGAAAAATCAAAAGACCAAAAAATCTAGGAGTGGAAAAATCGAAAAATTGGGAAACCGAAATAGGCCAAACATATGGAAAAATTGATAAAGCGAGAGATTGAACAATCAAAACATCGAAACATCCGAATCTCAATAAATTGAGATCTCAAAAAATTTAAAAATTCGGAAATTTGAAAAATTAAAATATAGAACTGGAAACTCGAGAAACCGAAAAATTTAGAAATTTAACAATTAAAATAAGGAAAAGTTGAAAAATTGAAAAATCGAAAGTATAAAAAATGAAAAACTGAAAATCCAAAAATAAAAAATCGAAAATCTAGAAGTTGAAAAATCAAAGAATCGAAGTATTGAAAAGTATCAAAACTGATAGAAAATCCAAAAATTGAGAAATCGAAAAACCAATAAAGCGAAGTCGAAAAATCGAAGAATTGAAGAACTGAAAAATCGAGAGAAGTGGGAAAATCAAAAATAGAAAAATTTAAATACTGAAGAACTGAAAAGTCAAAAAAACGAGAAATCGAAAAATCTAAAATTTAAAACATTGAAAAGTTAAAATATCTTAAAACTGAAAAATGGAGAAATCCAAACATCAAAAAATCAAAAAAATAAAAATTCGAAAATCTAAAATTTAAAAATCGAAAAACTGAAAAATCAACGAATCGAAAAGTCGAAAATTTAAAAAATTTGAAAATTGAAAAAGCGTATAAATCAAAAATCGAAACATCGAAAAATCGAGAAACCGAAAAGCAAAAAATCGAAAAATCGAAACATCGTAAAATTCAAAAATTGAGACATCGAGAAATCGAAAAATCAAAAGACCAAAAAATCTAGGAGTGGAAAAATCGAAAAATTGGGAAACCGAAATAGGCCAAATATATGGAAAAATTGATAAAGCGAGAGATTGAACAATCAAAACATCGAAACATCCGAATCTCAATAAATTGAGATCTCAAAAAATTAAAAAATTCGGAAATTTGAAAAATTAAAATATAGAACTGGAAACTCGAGAAACCGAAAAATTTAGAAATTTAACAATTAAAATAAGGAAAAGTTGAAAAATTGAAAAATCGAAAGTATAAAAAAAAAAACTGAAAATCCAAAAATAAAAAATCGAAAATTTAGAAGTCGAAAAATCGAAGAATCGAAGTATTGAAAAGTATCAAAACTGAAAGAAAATTCAAAAATTGAGAAATCGAAAAACCAATAAAGCGAAGTCGAAAAATCGAAGAATTGAAGAACTAAAAAATCGAGAGAAGTGGGAAATTCAAAAATAGAAAAATTTAAATACTGAAGAACTGAAAAGTCAAAAAAACGAGAAATCGAAAAATCTAAAATTTAAAACATTGAAAAGTTAAAATATCCTAAAACTGAAAAATGGAGAAATCCAAACATCAAAAAATCAAAAAAATAAAAATTCGAAAATCTAAAATTTAAAAATCGAAAAACTGAAAAATCAACGAATCGAAAAGTCGAAAATTTAAAAAATTTGAAAATTGAAAAAGCGTATAAATCAAAAATCGAAACATCGAAAAATCGAGAAACCGAAAAGCAAAAAATCGAAAAACCAACAAATCGAAAAATCGAAACATCGTAAAATTCAAAAATTGAGACATCGAGAGATCGAAAAATCAAAAGACCAAAAAATCTAGGAGTGGAAAAATCGAAAAATTGGGAAACCGAAATAGGCCAAATATATGGAAAAATTGATAAAGCCAGAGATTGAACAATCAAAACATCGAAACATCCGAATCTCAATAAATTGAGATCTCAAAAAATTTAAAAATTCGGAAATTTGAAAAATTAAAATATAGAACTGGAAACTCGAAAAACCGAAAAATTTAGAAATTTAACAATTAAAATAAGGAAAAGTTGAAAAATTTTTTTTCCAAAAATCTTGATGTCAAAGGTGAAAACTCGACACGGATGCATAAACCGTAAACGGAGGATATACTATTGTAAAATTTGGAGATTGCGTCATTTTATTGTTGGTGACAAATTTTGGTGAGTGTTTTACCATTTGATAACATAATTTGAAATGTAAATTTTGTCATTCGGGAACATTATGCATTAAATCGTTAAGATGTTCAAGAACTTTGTTCACTTATTCGGTGTAAAGTCCAATGGTCGAAACGGGTTAGTTCTTCGTAGTGGATGTGTATCAGATCAACTCTAACGAATGTCGGCTTATAGATAAATCGCTTAAAGCCGATAATAGCCTGAGTGTGCTTTGGTCTGTAGATCAAACAAGTTCTCAGGCGACGAAAAATTGCATGTGGAGGGAGACTTCGGATTACAAATCGTGCCAAGAAAGTAATAAATTTATATCGGTGTAAAATATTTGGGAGGTGGATTTTCATTCAGATGGATTAAAATTATCATAATCACTATTGATATTAATTAACACAAAATGGCGCGCAAGTTATCAGTTGATTTCGTTAATAAATGCATAGAAACCTATATGGGATTTTTTCATGCCTTAGAAAATTAAAAAGTAAAAAATACAATAACAAAAATTTTAAAATGCGGTTTACGAAACATTAGTTGACCTGTGCAAAGAGGAAATTTTTGGAAACGCTGACAAATATTACATCTTAAAAAAATAACACTTGAAGAAGTGCTTTCGGCGTAGTATTTTTGATGCTGGCGTGAACAAAATACTTTGTGTCAGTGCGCAAAGAGTTAACTGTGCCGAAAATCCGAAAACCAGATGGCTGTGTGTAGGGCCAGCATAACGGAAGTAATAAATCATCCCATCGGTTGAAGAACGTTGGGTCGGTGCACTGATGTCGGTGTTATATCCCGAGAGGGGCCAAATACACCCAATCGAACAGACAAAATAAAGCTTCAAACATGATTATTTTTATACTAAAATTCTGAAGTTTATAAACTGCACATTTTATTTTTTTATTTATTTTATCTTGTTTTCGAAATATAATAAACATTTCAAAAAATGTCTGTAACTTATTTTAATGTAAATTATATTCATGTGGTTGACAAAATCAGATGTAATATTAGTCTGATTTTGACCTTATTCTAGATTTTATTACAGCAGAACGGCGTGTCCTTTTTAAATTTTAGAAGTTACGGAAACTAGTTCAAGAAACAATTAGTTATCTCGTATTTTTGGAACAAAATCTACCAAAACGTCGGATAACAGCAATTGTTTTTCATAGAAACAGTCTTCAAAGCAGCCTTTAACAACTCGATATTACAAACATGCTTCTTAAGTTCTTAATGCGTTTTCTTCTGTCTTGTAATTATTTGTAATGTCAACGCCCAAAGTTTATGTCATTCTGTTATTTACTTTGAATATATATTTTCATTTTGTGTTAATATTTTTGTAACTAAACAATTATACTAGTTTAAAAACCCTTGGAAAGTTTCTGTCAGTCTTCAGATATAGTCAAATAAAAATAGGCGTCAAATTCATTTAAATTCAATTCTTTCGTATCACGTTACGACGCGTTGCTTTATATTTTTTATGTCAAGCATATTTTCATATTTTGTACATATATGTTTATACACATTACTGTTTACGGAACAATGTTAATTATGGATTTATGGATAACTCCTCGTATAAGAGCAGAGTGAAGGGTGTTTGCCTTTGCTAATGTTTGATGGCGCCATCTGATGTAGAGTAAAATAAATCTAATATGTTGGCTCACTGTAGTGAAAATGCGCGTTGACGAAAAATTTGTCCCACGCCCCCTGGATTCCTTGTCCTAAAGCTCACTATTTAGGCGAAGTAAAATTTGTATTAGGTTGTCCAACTATAATATACTTAAACAATCGTATTACTATTATTATTACTATTATTATTTATAAATGAAACTAAAATTCTCGGCATTTTTTTTATTGAATGGAAAGCTAACATTTTAACAATAAAACGATACTAGAGAAATTTATCTCGACTACGTTGTGATGCACCTACTTTACTTACGAGTACTTCTTCTGCTGTAAACTATATATGACCGACATCGCGGAGAAAATGGCGTTCACGACCTGAAATCACAGGTTTATTTCGCCCCAGCAACCCCAAATCGTACCTTTAGCCCCAACTGATAGTTAAGCGAAATGTTTTCAGAGTACTTGATCTTGAATTTTCGCGTCGCGTGCATCAGGAAAAACAGGTAAGTTTTCTTGTTTTTTGAGTTCCAGTGGTACCACTCGACTTGGCTCAGAGTTTCGTAGATTTCCTCTGACTGTAAGTAATTTGGGGTTTGGTAAAGTACCACGACTATGTTACAACGTACCCAATCTTCGATTCCTTGCCCACCGGCTGCAAACCCTAGCAACATAGCAGACGTCGTAAGTATCATAAGTACCATGCGAAAATACTGGTCGGACAAAGAACCTTCAAACTACAATGTTAATTAAAAATTTGACGTTAGTTGAAGAAGTACCGCAAAAAAGACTAGAAGAATACTAGCCATTACGCAGGTACCCATGATTTGAAACGGCAAAACGTACACTTGCGTGAGTCCTAAGGCTCTTGAAGCGATTCTGAAAAACTCGTTGGTGTTAACTTCAAAATTTATGACTATCTTACTCAGTGAGCTGGATGTGGTACTTCACACAAGACATTAATTTATCTTCGATCTGTCTGTGGTACTCCACGTTGTTCCATCTTATGTACTCTACGTGCTCGAACTTGGCGTTGATATCTTGTATGCAGTGTTTCAGCATAAATTTTTGCAGGTTGGCGTGGCCGTGGAAATACAAAATCGCGAATCCAGGTACACTTATTCCCACGTAGGTCAACACAAAAAACGTAGGTTTTAAACACCACACGATAACATTTTCCCATTGCGGAAAATACAGTTCTACTATTTTGTAAACGAAAATAAGATCCTTGTCTATCGAAGTTGGTACGAAGGTGCATATCGCACCCAGGAGACCTAGTGCTGTGGTCGTGCACATGTACGCCGTAATGTAAATCCAAGTTTGCCTCACTTTTCCTTTAATCTCTTTTGTGGCTTCTTCGATTTTCCACACTTGGATTTCGTGTATGTAAGTTTTGATTATGTTAGTGGTGTAAGCTTGGCAGTAAATGGATACCCCCATCTACAATTAATAATAATAATTAGTTTAACTTATGTTTCGAATTTCGTTACTCACATATAATAACAGAATGTAAATAGGCTCGTACTGAACGAAATATTTCAATTCGAATTTTTTTAAAAAGAAATATCCTTGAAGGAGAATCAAAAGTGATATAATCAAAGATACTACCAAGAGTAAATATTTCATGGTTCTACACTCAAAAATGTCCACCGTGAAGAACCGACAGATTCTCATATAATTTGTTACTGAAAAGGTTTCGCTTTAAAACTGAGTAAATTCAAGAAACTTACCTTCCATCCTTTCGTTTCAGGACTAAGAGAATGCTCAGCGATCGTATTTAACGACTATTTGAACACAAGAATCGTTAAGGTAGTTGTCAATTAACAATCGATATAAATGCCCCTTTTATAAACAACTAAGAATATAAAGTTGGAAAAACACCACGCCCATAGCATTGTAATGTATCGTTAATGATCTTCAGCAGTTTACTTACTACAGTATATAATAAAATTGTTTCATATAGTTATAATTATCCCTTGTTTTTAGACACCCCAAAATGAATTTATATAATTTTTAATCAGTTACAGTAATATATAAATTTCCGGAATATATGAAATTTGAATAATAAAATCAGCACATAGCCACATGATATAAAATAACATACTCCTAAACGTATACTTAGTTTATGAATCCGTGTTGAGTTTTACCCCAGACATCCAGAATTCGGGAAAAAAATTGGTTCAAAATTGTTTCGACAGAACTTCCCTCGTACCTAAGCACAATGAAACATATCCAGCATTTTCGAGTTGAGTTTTTACTTTACACAATTTTGTGATGACGTCACCAACATTTTTGCAAGGACACGTATATCATCTTGGATTGGTGCAGTGCAATACTAAAAATAACTGTATTGCATTCCCAAAATTTTCTGGGAAAATGTAGGGAGCCGTTGCTGATTTACTCAATAAACTAAATTGGCTCATTCCTTAATTTTGTTGAGCCACCTGCTTGAACGAATCAATAAAATATTAATGTAATGATAAATGACAAGTATAGACTTATCACATTTTGCACATTGAATATAGGGTTTATTCGACAAAGTTCCGAGGTGACTTCTTTTTTCCAAAAATCTGGACATTTCGGGTAAAAACTCAACACGGAGGCATAAACTGCATGTGTGGGACTATGTTATTTTATACAGTTTAAAACCCATTTTCTACGTACATCATCACATTATTGGTGGAGATGATTAGACAAAGTTTGATTAGCGTTTTACCCCATAGAATATTACCTCCTGGTAACAATTTGGGCTGCGTCGTCCTTGATTCGCCTCCAAGGATATTTATTTTTAAAAAATGTTGAAATTTTGGAAAATCGAAAAATCAAAAATTGAGAAACTGAAAAATTGTAATATCGAAAAATTGTAAAATCGATGACAAAGGAAAACTGAAAAACTGTGATACCAAAAATTGGTCGAAGGTAAATAAATCCAAATTTTTCCAAATATAATAACACTTGATGTTGTGAATTTTACTTTTTTATGATAACCTGAATAAGTTGAAATAAAAATATGTATGTAGTGTTAAAGTCAATGTAAAGAAGAATCACTTTGGATAAATTCAGTGTAATATACTAGTAATAACAATACGGCATTCCAAAGATTTCGGGAAAATGGAGTGAGTAATCAACATATTAAATTGCCCCTTTTATTATTATTTTGTGTCACCCTGTATAAGTAATTCCAAAATCTATGAGTGCATTGTTTGAGTACATAACATTGTGTATATTACAGAGAGGATTTATAATACTTAAACAAATTTGGTTAGCGATTTACCATGATTACGATAACCTTAAAACATTTACCGCATTTCAGAAACTGAAACACGGATTCATAAACCACATAGGAGTATCTGATTATATATATAAAATCGAAATGATATTTTCTAACGTAAATTTTAGAGATGACGTCATCCGATTGTAGGTGGGGATGTTCATCCAAATCTTGATTAGCGTTTCGGACAAACAGACGAAAGGTGGAGTTATTTTTTCGTGCTCTAGAGGTCATGCAACGTCGAGAAATAAAAAAATTAGCAATCTTCCAATGGATTCGACTACAATACTTCCTTAGCCTATCCTCTGGAAGTAATTAACGTGAATTTTAGTTTTATTTATAAAGCTCAAATTAGAACGCATTCACGCAGCATTAAATTGAAAAGTGTGAAAATAGATAAGTTGCATGCGAACCGCCACTAAATACCAAGTCATCACATAAGCAAAAACATTGTGCAGAAAATATGAATGCGATAAATATAGTCGTCATAAAACAATAAAAAATCGCTACGAGCCCAAACATGGTAAAGCCAGCATTCGACTGCTAATTAAAATTGTATCTTTTGCGAAAATTTCAATAAAGAGAAAGTTAACGTTGGAAATATGCTGATGTTCCGTGTTGCATCGCTTTAATTAATTTATGGCCACGAACTTGTGCATCCTTAATAGCAGACACGAAGAAATATTTTTCCGCAGTTCTGTGCCTCACGTTTTTTTGTTTTTTAAGTTCCAGTGGTACCACGCGACTTGGCACAGAGCTTCGTAAATTTCCTCTGACTGTAAGTAATTTCGGGTTAGATAAATTACCAAGACTATATTATAACGTACCAAATCTTCGATGCAAACCCCAGCAACACAGCAGACGCCGTAAGTACCAAAACTACCATGCGAAAGTACTGGTCGGACAAAGAACCTTCAAACTACAATGTTAATTAGAAATTTGGCGTTAACGCAAGAAGTGGCGCAAAAAAGACTAGAATAACGCTAGCCATCACGCAGCTACCGACGATTTGAAACGGAAAAACGTACACATGTGCGAGTCGTAGGGGCCTTAAGGCGTTTCTGAAAAATTCAGTGGTCTTACCGTAAAAAATTATAATTGTAGAATAAAAAATGTATCTTTCTGAAATAGGATTTAACAAAACATTTATCTTTGTTTAGAAGGAGTTCGTTACTGACTGACCAGTTATACAATCTGTTTAGATTATTCTGAAGACGCACACAGTCATCTATTGTTTTAATTTCGCGGATTAGTTTGAGATCGTCAGCATACATAAGATACTACATCAATTTGTTGTCCAACATCATCTATGTAGATATTGAATAGTAAAGGACCCAACACAGACCCCTGGGGTACCCCCGAGGTTTGACGAAACTTGCTAGAGTAAAAGCCCTGATAATACACATACTGATATCTTTCATATAGATATGATGTGAAGAGATTAATCAAGTCATTCGAGAAGCAAAAAGAATGTAATTTAAGCAATAAAATTCTATGATTTACGCGATCAAACGCCTTAGAAAAATCTGTATATATGCAGTCCACCTGACTACGCTGATCTAAATAGTCTGAAATAAACTGTGCTTTTAAAAATAAGTTTTTGGTTGTTGACTTTCCCTTTCTAAAACCATGTTGATTTGAGGACAAATAAGTGGAAACGTGATTACATATTCGAGAATGAAGCAGGATTTCAAATATTTTTGCAAAATTGTTAATAATTGTGATTGGACGATAATTTGTTATGTCACTTGTGCTATTTTTCTTATGGACAGGTGTAATGCGTGATAGTTTCCACTTTTCTGGAAAAATAGATGTTCTTAATATCAAATTAAAAATAACAGATAACGGTTCACATAAAACTGACGCACAATCACGAATGAGAAATGAGGGAATAGCATCAGGACCAGCTGTCAAAGTTGGCTTAAGTTTTTTAATCGAATTGTAAATTTCTCTGGAATCAACATTTTTAACATATAAGATGTTTTTATTTTAGACTACTTAAGTTTTCCTCAAATACTACAGAGTTGGTGTTATTATCTTGTTTGAATGATTTAACAAACGATTCAGCAAACGCATTAACTATATGCATCTTCTGGTGACGTTAAATCGCTGTCATTATATTTCATCACATTGGGTATTCCGTTTTGTTTTTAATAAAAGCCCAAAATTGTTTTGGATTTATTTTTATTTCTTCTGTAATTCGTCGTAAATAATTTTCATGAGCATTTCTAATAAAATTTTTTACTTTATTGCGGTGCATTTTAAATATTTCAAAAGATACAAGTGATTTATCATTTTTGTACTTTATCCAAGCTTTGTGTTTTTGTTTAAGATATAATTTCATTGTTAAATAAATAAATATATAAGACAATAACATAAAGAAATTTATACCCCAGTCTTATTTTTGCTGCTAATATGTCTATTGGTTTCAGGTCGGTAAATTGACGACAAACTCGCACTAGATCTATTACTGTTATTTGTATCTGTTATTGCAGCTCAGAAAGTTTCTGAGCTGCAATAAGCACACCTCCACCTCTTCACATTGGTGTTACGCTAAAGTCACGATCTTTTCTGAAAACGTTGAACATTTTTGTATCAAAATACTCACCATTGAAGGAGCTAGAGTTTAGCCAAGTTTCTGTCAAAATTAATATATCAAAGTGAGACATCGCACTTGAGTTTATGAGAATCTCTGAAGCCTTTGTATTCATACCTCTAACATTTTGGTAGTATACGTGGATATTTTGAGTACTACTAAGTATTATTAATGGACGAAATAGAATGAGAATTATTACAGATAATATGCTTGACTTGAAATCAGATTGGGCTTTTTGATAAGCATGACATTTACTGAAATCCCACACTGTATGATCAACGCTAAGATTAGTCTGATGTTTTGTATTTAAAGTAACACCTCAGTTTTACATTCGTTGACATTGTGAGATCTAGAACATTTGGGGCATATTAGAAGTTTGTGAGAACATTGTTTATAGTAATGATGGTAGCCACAACACTAACACAATTTTATATCAATGGCGTCATAAACAATACAACCATCGTAGCCAACAATGAGTTAGTTATTTTTTATTATATTGTTATATGTAACAATATTCACTTCTATGGTTGCCTGAAATCGTTTATTGTCTTTTCTTAAGGGTGTTATTTTCTCAACTTTGCAATAAGGTTCTCCTACAAAAAGATATCCGTTTTGGTGTATGATGTAATCAGATAGTTCATCAGTTGTGATTTCTTTATCAGTTATTCCTACAACTCTAATTCGGGGATTTATAACAGGTAGTTGCTTAATTGTATATTTTTCACCCAGAGTATCTTTAGCGACTTTTGCAATTTTTTCTTTGTCCAGGTTTTTATCACAGCGGACAATTAGGCTTCCATTACGAGCAGTTTTAGTATTTCTTATGGAAACACCAGTTTTTACTGGATCAACGTTGCGTAATATTTCCGATTTAGTTGTGGCTACACTTTGCGATTGATCTTTAGGTTGAAATATGATAGATGTTG